CCGCAGCAGCGCCCGCAGCCCCTCCAGGAAGGCCTCGTTGGAGTCCGAGCCCTGCTTGATGCTGGGGGGGACAGCGGGGGGACTGGGGCTGCCAGCGGGATCATGGGGAGCCCCCAAAATCCCAACCCTGCAGCTCACAGCTCATTCCTGAACACCCTGAGCAACATTCCGGTGGGGATTGGAGCTGGAGAGGGAGCTCAGTCTTTTATGGGATTGGAGCTGGAGAGGGAGCTCAGCCTTTGTGGGGTTGGATTTGGAGAGGGAACTCAGCCTTTGTGGGGTTGGAGCTGGAGAGGGAACTCAGCCTTTTATGGGATTGGAGCTGGAGAGGGAGCTCCAGCCTTTTGTGGGATTGGATTTGGAGAGGGAGCTCCAGCCTCTGTGGGATTGGAGCCGGAGAGGGAACTCCAGCCTTTTGTGGGATTGGATTTGGAGAGGGAGCTCCAGCCTCTGTGGGATTGGAACTGGAGAGGGAACTCCAGCCTTTTGTGGGATTGGAGCTGGAGAGGGAGCTCCAGCCTCTGTGGGATTGGAGCTGGAGAGGGAGCTCCAGCCTCTGTGGGATTGGAGCTGGAGAGGGAACTCAGCCTTTGTGGGATTGGAGCTGGAGAGGGAGCTCCAGCCTCTGAGAGGGAGCTCCAGCCTTTTGTGGAATTGGAACTGGAGAGGGAGCTCCAGCCTTTTGTAGGATTGGAACTGGAGAGGGAGCTCCAGCCTTTTGTAGGATTGGAGCTGGAGAGGGAGCTCCAGCCTCTGAGAGGGAGCTCCAGCCTTTTGTGGGGTTGGATTTGGAGAGGGAGCTCCAGCCTCTGTGGGATTGGATTTGGAGAGGGAGCTCCAGCCTTTGTGGGGTTGGATTTGGAGAGGGAGCTCCAGCCTTTTGTGGAATTGGAACTGGAGAGGGAGCTCCAGCCTTTTGTGGGATTGGAGCTGGAGAGGGAGCTCCAGCCTCTGAGAGGGAGCTCCAGCCTTTTGTGGGGTTGGATTTGGAGAGGGAGCTCCAGCCTTTTGTGGGATTGGAACTGGAGAGGGAGCTCCAGCCTTTTGTGGGATTGGATTTGAAGAGGGAGCTCCAGCCTTTTGTGGAATTGGAACTGGAGAGGGAGCTCCAGCCTTTTGTGGGATTGGAGCTGGAGAGGGAACTCCAGCCTTTGTGGGGTTGGATTTGGAGAGGGAGCTCCAGCCTTTTGTGGGATTGGAGCTGGAGAGGGAGCTCCAGCCTTTGTGGGGTTGGAGCTGGAGAGGGAGCTCCAGCCTTTCTCCTTGGGATTTAAACACCCTGGGCAGCATTCCTGCATGGAATTGGAGCTGGAGAAGGTCTTCCAGCGTTTCTCCTCGGGATTTTAATGCCCCAGACAACATTCCTGCATGGGAATGGACCTGGAGAGGGAACTCCAGCCATTCTTGAGATGGAAATGACTCCCACAGCAGCAGCTGGCTCCCTTCCCAAACATTCCCAGGCGGGAATGCCTAAGCCTGGCTCAGTATGGCCCCACAGAGCCGGGAAAGGTCGGGAACTCCTCCCTGGAGAGTGCCCCAGGGCAGGGGACACCCCTGTGCCGTGGCGGGGACACCCCTCCTACCTGCAGACAAACACCTCCAGGGGCTGCTGCGTGTTGGGCGTCATGATCCAGGGCGCCACGCGGAACACCACGGTGTCCGTGAAGATCGGCGTGCCCGGCGCGTCCTGGTGGAGCCAAAATGGAGTTTGGGACCTCCAGCACCGGGGGGGTCGTTAGGGGAGGGGTGGGGACGACCCCGCTGTACCTTATGGGGCACCTCCAGCAGGCTGGCGCTGAAGGACACCAGGCCGGTGAAGCCTCTGTCGGGGAACGCCAGCCCCTCCACGTAGAAGGTGCTGTCCCCCTGGCCAGC